ACGTGTGTGAGAAAAGCAGAGTTGAAGATGGAGATAAGAGGTGGCATTAGGTGTGATATGCAAAAGAGTTACACCTTATATTAGTAACAAAAGTTATTTTTAAAAATTGAGGAACATCATTAAAATTGGTTTTATTGGCTCTGTGAAGTTGAACTGGAGAAGATCTGAGATGGAGAAACTAGCTACTAGGATACCGCTCAACGGTGACTTTGGTGTTGGTAGTAGAATCAATCGGACAATGGATGGATAGGAGGTATTTTCTCAGGAATAGTAAATGCATTCACATGGTTCTGGTGGGGTGCTGAGAAAAAAAAGAGTTTAGGAGGAATCCTAGTTTTCAGAATTTTGGTGAAGGAAGGTGATAAGATAGATAACAGAAAACACCACAAAAGATACCTTTTGAAGAAAGGAGGTATATACAAAGCAGTGATGGAGAGTGAGTTATTAAGAGATAGACCTTTGGGAGTTACTAGCACAGATTACAGTTGAGACTGCCTAAGGTCAATCCATTTTCAATTCTGGAAACAAGACTCTCAATTTGTATTCCAAAGTGCTTAACTCTACAAAGACCAGCAATTACTTATTGAGCATCCATGAATAAGCCTCTCTGACAAATAGCATCTTTACCAAGGAGAAATCATCTACATTTAAAATAATTTGATATCCATAATTAATTTGCCATGGCATTATTCACTTTTTCTTAGAAATAATTGGTTTATATTTTCTCTTTCATGTTTCTGACTGACCATGAAATACTCCATAGCTTGATCATATTTTTCATTTATTTCTTCTCAATATGTACACCCTCTCTTCCTCTCAAGATGAAATAGTTTTCATGCCACAAAGAATGAAACCAAATAAACCTTCAGTTGAGTCCAATCCTATTCTACCTGAGATGTTTGTAAATGGACTGAAATTAGGTACTCGATTCCTTCTAACCTTTAATTTTGTGGTTGTTATTGTAGTTGGCTTCCTCTGTATATTTTTTCTTGATGATTTACAAATAGCATAGCAGTTAAAAATGGAAACTCTGGGGACTATTGCTTGAGTTCTACTCCTGACTCCACCACTGTGAGACTTAGAGCCAGCTTAATTTTTTTCATGCTTCAACTTTCTCATGGCACATGTGAATAATAGTACAAAATATTTAGGATGGGTTTTAAGTAATTATACAAATGAAGACCTTGTAGATGGACTTTTATTACTTTCATTATGATGGTTATAATTTATAGAACATGCCTCACAGGCAAAACATGCTGATAATGGAGCTGCTTATCTTTCTGTAATGTGCACAGTATATTTTTTTCACGTGGGGAGCTTGGGTTCAAGTTATTGGAGTTTTATCTTTGCTTCATGGAGCTGTTGAATAACCTGAGGGCAAATTCTACCTACAATTTCACAAAGGGAACCTACTGTTTATTTGTGTGATGATATAAACAGATTTTACAATATCAGAAATGCCAGGGTATCCCAAATACTTGATAAATTCGATTTGCAAATTGGATAAGGATTTGTAGAATTACTTTACAGAGAGTTGCTAACTCTATTGGAAGAAAGCAATGTTCATAGTTTATCCAAGCTAGTATACATGATCTATTTAGCTCTAATGATCCATTAATGTAAGAGAGTAGTTTTGGAATTATTTGTTTATAAGACTAATAACTCCCACTTTCCATCTGTTTCTTCTTTCAGCATTTTACAAACTAACCATCCATCCAGATTTAACTTAGAGGAAAAATGGAGCTTGACCAAAGCCTGGTTTTTGCCAGATGGGTGTATGTGAGAACAAACTTATATTCCAAGTTGTTTTGAAATTGCTAAGGCATCCAGGAGGCAACATATGAGCTAGTATTCAGTTCTGTGAACACAGAGTAGTCTATACTTCTGTTTCTAATTTTCTCATAAAATCATTTGAATGAATGAACCAAATAAGAATGTATGTAAAGTGTATACAAATTTGTTATACAGGGGGCTGGCACCGTGGTACACTAGGTTAATCCTCTGCCTGTGGTGCCGGCATCCCATATGGGTGAAGTTTCTAGCCTGGTTGCTCCTCTTCTGGACCAGCTCTTTGCTGTAGCCCGGGAGGGCAGTGGAGGATGGCCCAAGTGCTTGGGCCCCTGCACCTGCATGGGAGACCAGGAGGAGGCTCCTGGCTCCTGGCTTCAGATTAGCACAGCTCTGGCTGTTATGGCGATTTGGGGAGTGAACCAGTGGACTGGAGACCTTTTTCTTTCTCTCTCTCTCCCTCTCTCTCTCTTTCACTGTCTGTAACTCTACCTGTCAAATAAATAAATAAAATGTTAAAAAAAAGAATTTGTTTTACATAACACACACTGACATCTAAAATGTGTTAAATGTAGTGAGATAACTGTAATTGGTGAAGTTACTCTGATGTGCCTCTCTGAAGTACATAAAAACCACCATGATCAAATCATGCAGTAGTAATACTAAATTTTGTGTTTTGTAGAGCTGTGTTGTTTTGTTGTTTAAATGCTATTCTTATAGAATTTTCATTTCTATTTCTATTAGTTTAGATGCTCATCATCTATCTATATATCTATCTATACATCCATCCACAGATCTGCATATCTATATATTTGTATGTGTGTATACACACATATTATAAAGCTTAAAGATTGATAGAGCTCCTTATGGCATATAGGAATAGTAGTTATCCAGAACAGCAGTGCCAAATTGGGCTCCAAAATAAGATCTACAAATTATCTGTTCAAAAACATGTATAGTTTTTGTAACAAATTTTAAAAGTTTACATTCTGGTGGTATTTCAAGCAAGGAAAAAAAAATAAGACAAAGGCAAGATATCTCAGTTACTTGTTTTTCCTTTATTCTCAGTCTTTAGGTGGAAATATCCTTAGGGGCATGGGTGTTGAGGACAGGGACTATATAAGTGACCCCCATATCTAATTTATGGGAGAATAACTCAAAGAGATTAAAACAGAAGCTTTGGCTCTGCCCAGGCCAGAATGGAAATGGATTTACTGGCAACCAATTAGTTGCCAGTTCTTCTCCAGTGTTGGTTGCCTTAGAACACTCTCCAAAAAGGGTGGGTAGGAAGAGCTTAGTCACGATCCACACATGCTGGCTCTGCTCTGCAATCTCAGACAGTTAACCTGCACTCTATCACAGAGAGCTGAAAAGAAAACCAGCCTGGATTTGTCTGATCTTTGGGGAAATTGGACAATCCTCCAAAATTCTCAAAGCAATTTGGACTAGTAATACAGTGAAACATCACTGGAAATACAGCTATAAAGTAGAGGTCCTCTGCCTGCAATCAGGTTTTCTGGTTTCCATTTCTTTAATGTGCTTTGAAGTTTAAATCACAGTTATTCAACATCAATACAACTGCAAGACATAATGTAGAGAAGAAGTAAAATCATGATTTTATAATGAATTTCTTAAAAATCCAGTTTGTATTCTGAGTCTTTCTCCTGTGGGTGTATATCAGATTGTGTGGACTGTTTCAACATACACTTAAAAACAACAACAAAAATGGTGAAAATCATCCAAAAACAAATTAAACTTTGTAAAGTTCCAAATAAGCAGGTTCTATATCAATGAGGTTACAAATTGAGTAAGAATGTTAACAGGAAAAGCTGATTTTTAAAAGCAAATCAATCCAATTGCTAGAAAATTTTAAATAAAGCAAATAAAAAGAAAATCTATAACTTGATATTAAAATTCAGGGGAAAAACCATAGTGAAGAGTATGAGAATAATATGTGCAGAGATTTGCAAATATGTGGCATTCATGAAAGAAAAATTAGCATGAATTTTGGAGCATTAACAATTAAGGCTGGGAAGAAAACATGCATTGCTCAACTTCCATTATCAAAATACAAACAATTTAGTAGTAATATAAATGATGAAATGATAGTTATCCTAATGAAGATTGACTCGTGGGAACAGAAAATAGGAAAATACAGTAGGAAGTGAGGTGTTCATGCCAAGTATAAGACGTTTAGATCCCTGGTTGCAAGGTTTTAAATGGCATGCCTTTTATCTTTGTGAATTTCAATTAGACTCTGCAATGGGCAAGTCAGGAAAGGAATATTAATGATGGAGGAGAAAGCTGGGTGGTGTTCCATTCTTCACAGAGCCAGCTAAACAACAGAGCAAATGTTTGTTTAGGTTGTAGCATATTAAATGCTCATTCAGAAAGTGATGGTTAATAGGCTAAAAAGGGAGGTTTGAAATACCTACAATATAAAGGTTTCACCCTGCTCACATAATCCTCAAAGCAAAGCTAAAATTTATTGTAGATCAGCAGTGTCTCTTATGAAAAACTGCACCATCTAGGAAAAACATCTGAATTTTTAGTGCATAACTAATAAACACAGAAGTGTTTGGCACATATTGAGTCTGAATGTAGAACGACAGAAACATATCTGTATGCTTACCCCCCCCCCCGTAAAAATGTCTTAACATTTGTAACAACTTCAGCAAGAGGTAAACAGTGGTTCTGCTTTGCTATAGCAGAGTGTGCACAACACTCTATCTGTGTGCAGTACCAAAAAGGAAAATGTCTCTTTTATTGTTCAAGTTGCAGGCTTGGATTTTTATCACCTCTGATAAAGCAGAAAGAAATGAGAGATCAAACACACTATGCTCTAAGTGTACAATGGGCTGGAATTATAAGTCCTTTTGCCTGACAGAGGTGGTGGGGAGGACCTCCAACCTTGCTACACTCCCCGCAGGGAGTGAATTGCAGAGATAGCAAACACAGCAGGTCCCTTTTTTGCTCCAGGTCGAGTAAACTTTTTAGAGCAGTAGATAGAGTGTGATCACCTGGTAGGGACGACGCCAGAGGCTGGGGAAAGGGATTGCTTGAAAGTGACAGGGAGCTTTCCCAGCGGGCATCACCTGCAAACGGACTTTACTGGCCAGTTCTTGGGGAGTCTCCAGCCCTCAGAGCTTTGAGGGGAAACCGATCCTGCTTGCAACGGTGTGGAGGAATCAGTGATACATCACGAGGGCTCAGGAAATCAAAGAAACTTCCTGTTGTCTGATTCCACGCATCACGCCTTTAACTTGGTCCTGCGTGGACACGCTGATGACTAAGTAAAGACGTGATTAGCCCCCCGGCCCTCCAGTGGGAGCGGTACCTCTTCACTTCTCAGCAGCCACGTCGCTCCCAGCCTGGGGATGCCGGAGGACTGGCGGCAGGACGCAGCCTCGAGGAGCCAGGGCCTCACAGACTCCCTGCATTCCTGACTTCGCGCCGACACCCACTAGCGGCCCCCCAGGAACCTCTGGGCCTCACGGGAGCCCCGGCAGGCGGCCGCGGGGAGCAGCCCCCGGCAGCGCCTGAGCTCCGCTCTTCAGGCGCGCGTGGGCGCGGGGAGCGGCGCTCGGGGCGCACCCCGGCGCCCTAAGCCTCCCGGGGCTGCGCCGCTGCAGGTGCCGGGAGGGCGGCGGTCTGTTCCCCCGGAGTGGGGCGGGGGAGGGGGGGTCCCTGCGTTCCGGGGAACCTCATTAGCCCTCCTTCGCGGCCTGGCTCCTCCTCCTCCTCCTCCAGGCGCGGGGCTCGTGCCCGCCACCGGCGCGCACCGCGCCTCCGCCCGCGCCCCCACCCCCAGCTCCTGCCGTCGCTTCCCCCTCCTCCTCTTCCTCCTCCTCCTTCTCCGCCCGTCACCGCCACTACCGACGCCTTCGCCTCCTTCTACTCCTTGCGCCGCGGCCGCCGCTCCTCGCTCCGAGCAGACCATCGCTGCCCGCTCGCTCGGCCGCAGCAGCCTGCCTCTCTCCGCGTCTGTCTGTCTGTCTGTCTCTTCTCCCTTTCTCCACCTCCAGACCCCCGCCCGCCTCCGCTCCCCGCCTTTCTCTCTCAAGTTTCCTATCTCCTAAAGATCAGGGCAAAGAGAGGAAAGCGTCGCATTCCGCTGGCTGTTTCAGGTAGGGTGGCCCACGTTGCTCCCCGCGGGGACCTTTGCCCATCCGCCCGCCTCGCGTGCACGCCTCCTCGCCCCCCACACCACTCCGGGATGCCCCGTGCTCCAGTCCTCCCTCCTCCCCAGCCCTTTCAAAAGATAATTTCCATACTCTCCAGAAGCATCTTTGCAACTACAGTGAGATGCGAGAGCCTGCCTGGCCGCGCGTTCCGTTGGCTCTTTTATGGTCTTCAACTTTGCACACTATGCTGGCTGCTGCCAGCCTGGCTGGGGTTTGATCCCGAAGCCTCACGCTCCTTGGCTCATGGTGCTCGCCTTTCCCGAGCGCGGTCAGACGCGGCATTTCGCAGCTCGGGATCCGAACCCGGCTGCCCCCAAGACATGGACTCGGGTACCCGTGGATGGGCAAGCAGGGAGGCTTTTGTTTTATTTGATTTCATTCCATGGATGTTAGGAGAGGGGCGTGAAGCAGTGAAGACCTGAAGATCACCATTCACTGTAAAGGAAAATAATTGCAGAAGTGGGTTGGCTACCCCTCGCTTCTCCCGCGGTGGTTGCGGGGGTGGTCTTGGTTCAGGGGGTTGGGGCATAAAGTACACATCTCTCCTCCCCTCTTCCATTCTTCCTTCCAGCAGACCCTATTCTCCAGCCAATTCTCAGTTTGGAGTCTGGGGTATTATTATTCCATGTGTGCACTACACGGTGCTTGCTGACCATGGGGCTGGGGGAAGTTCCTGGCAGAGCGAAGTGTGATTACCTGGTTATCCTGATGTCAAAAAAGAAAAAAAAAAAAAAATCCTAACCCGTTTTGATCAGACCCTACCCCTGAAGTAATCCCCAAAGCTTTAACTTCGATTTCCTAATTCAATGACATTATTTTGAAACTGAAGGAAATGTTAAATGTATTTTGTTTTTCTTCCCTTTCCTTGGCTTTACAAAGAGCAGCTATGAAGACGAAATTGAACATCTACAACATGCAGTGGCTGCTGCTTGTTCTCTTGATATGGGACCCAACCAGGTGAGACCGTTACTGTATTTCCTTCCTTAAAACTCAGGGTAAAGGTGCATCTCTGAGTGCCATCAGTGCAAGGGTTAATCTGGGGTAGTAATTGAAGATTTATTTCTGATGAAAAGGGGTTGTACCAGGAATGTGAACCACAAAGTGCCAGACGCTATAGAAAGTTCCCTGCTCTCTGTTTTTAGTGAAAATATACAAAAGTGAACAGAAATATTTTGTATACAAGATTCACTGAGGAAAATAATAGCCTTTGACACATTCTTACAAGGAATTGACATGGTAATAACTGCTTGTAATACCGTCCACACTTAGTAATGAAGCCAGGTTTTCCTTCAACCTAGACAGAAAGATCCTAATCTGAATGATAACTTATTTATTTATTTTTTCTTTTCTTTCTTAATGGTCTTGCCTCCTTCAGTCAACATAGCAAACCCAAATGATGTGTGAGTCTCAACCTCTAGGTGGAGATAGTATACAACTTCACAGTCAAACAATTAAACAAAAGCTTGATTTATTAATTAACTTTTCATGTTATTAATTTAAAGATCCTTTAATCCTCAAATGATTCCTGTCATAAGATGTACTTATTTCAAATATGTAATTTATTTTCTTTTGCCTGTGCTGTACAAAAATGAAATTTTTGATTTCAACAACTTCATCTTAGATGTAGGCTTTTCTGATTTTTATCACCAGAGAGCACCTTTTACTTAATATCCTTAAAACACTATTTTCAAATTGCCAAAGAATTCAAATTACAACTTTTTGTAAAGTGCTCCTGTAACTATCTGCTTTTGAAAATTCTCTATTACATGTTTAATTCCTTTTTTTTTTCTGAGTTCTGTCCAAGTAATGGTCAAGGTATAGAAATCTTTTCTAGAATTGAGAAGATATCTATTTATGAAGCGTTACGTTTAATTAGAAAATATCTACTCATTTAACATCTGAATATTGACTTTAGAAAGAAAATATGAAATGTGATTAAAAGTGCTTTTAAGTGAAAATTTCTGTAGAATATTACTACCATATTACTGATAGGTTTTTAAATTAGCTTAAGTAGATAATGTAGAAACTTTCTATACTGGAGGATATGAACTAATTTACTTACGTAATTTCTAAATGTTAATCTTCATTTTAGTGTTTTACTATTTATGCTGCTATAAAAGCAATATTTGTTTGAAGTTGGTTTACAATTTTTGATGTATTGTGAGTCTTTTTAGCTACAAGTCTTGTAATTTTTAAATACCGATGGACTCTGTCAATGGTTTTTACACAGTACACCTTGATCAGAATCTGATTGCATATGGTCATTGATTTTGATCTGCCTATGACCAATCAATAATCATTGAAAATCCTCAGTCCTTAAACAATTTATCTCTACTAGTTTTCTGTTCTATATTTGACCAGTAATGCTCATGCCAGTATTTTTATTCTATTATATAAATGATTCTTTTTTTGGGGCCAGTAATTTAAATCTCTGAATCATTCTGAGGGGGAAAAAAGGGAGTGAAAAAGGACATTCTGTTTAGATAGTTGTTTCTGCACCAAATTGCTGGATGTCACAGAATCAATCAGCTCTCTGGCAGGCTTTTTGATGGAGAAATAATGGAGAAAAACTATTGTTTGTAAAGCTTTTCTGGTAATGTTTTAAAACCATTTGTTCTTTAGATAAATTTATTTGCGGAAAAAAAAAAGAAAAAAGAAAAGAAATAGCTGCTGGCCCTTTAATCTTTATGTAGGCACTTTTCAGTCTTCTGTGAGACCAGTGAGGAGGGACTGGCCTCCAAGGTTCTAGCAGCTGTGCATGTTGCTGGGGCTTTTAGAGCCCACCTCCACCTCCTGGTTACAGTGCAGCCTGGCACAAGGCCAGTGGAGTTTCCCTGATGTCTATATTGCACTTGGCCATTGGGTGGAGGTAGATCCAAAGTAAGGAAATATTCTCTGTTTAAAAGAGAGGAAGACAAGGGAAAGACATTTATGAAAGAGATGGAGAAATTTTGTTTCTCCAAGGAGGCAATTAATCTTCCAATTAATATTCAAAAAGCTGAAGAATGATTTTAGAAGTCTGATTATTCTATCTTTCTAACTGTAAAAAGAGCATTCTTCATAGTGTCTGCATTTGATAATCTACAATCACAATATATTCTAGGGACTGGATTTTAGGAAAACAGCCCAGGAAGAATGCTAAATGGAAAGAATATCAAATAGTTTTAACATCAAGCGTGTGATAATTTACTGTTTAATATCCATTGTCAGCAGCATGTTTACCTTCCCCATAGAGATACTGATATTTGTAAAAGTGTAAAAATAAAGAGGAATCCCAATGGCACTAATAGCTTAGAAAGCCCTAAATTTCGAATTAAGGAAGAAGAGTGTGTTGGCAGTTGCTAAACATACGTATCTATACATATCAGCTTGTAAAATTATCTGTTTAGGTTGGTGCTGGCAAACATCCAAGAAGATGAAGCTAAAAATAACATTACCATCTTTACAAGAATTCTAGACAGACTTCTGGATGGTTATGATAATCGGCTTAGACCAGGACTGGGAGGTAAAAATGGTTTTTCTTTTTTTAAAACTTGTGAAAAATAATGGCTTTGAAAGTTAAGGATCATATTTCTATTTTAATAGATTTTACATATGAATACACTGGTATGTATTAAAATCATAGATAATAAAAATATATATGAATTAAATATCTGTGATTCCTTTCCTACACACATAATGTATGTAGCATACCTTTAAAGAGTGCCTAATGTCATATGGTGCCCAGACTTTCTGCATGAGTAATTTTCAAATTAATTTCTTCTAATTTTTTCACACCTAGAGTCTGTTAAAGTATATCATTATTGAACAGATATGCATGTGTAGTATCTTTGGTTATTTTTATATTTTACAGATACTTAGTTTCATATCATTACAAATATGTAAAAATGAAGAACATAAACAAGTGAAAGAATACTATGCTGTATATCCAATAAATACACTTTTTTAAGATTTTTATAATGATACTTTTTACACCTGCATGTGATATTTCTGAAATATAGTGCAAGTTGACATTCTTGAAACTTTCAAAGATATGTTAGATATGTGTTGAGTATAAGCCTAAATGCTCGGTTGATGGCGGAGTTTGATTTCAATTTTGAATATTAATCTTCAGCTCAGAAAATAAATCTATTTTACCTGTGAAGATTAAAAAGTTAGGCTTGGTTAATATGTTATATTTTAATTGTTATTTAGTATAAGGAGATGATACAGGAGTGTAGGTGAATGTAGGGTAGATATATAAATCCTGAAAGTATTCTTAGTCAAAATATTGTGTTCTTCCATTCTAACGTGGTTACATGTACACACACACATACTCACACTTAATATATGTGACTGTGCATCTTAATAATTATTAAATGTTCATGTTATCATTTACTATGTATAGCTTCATAATTATTAAGATGTTTAGTTTAACAGTTAATTTAAAATCAAAGCAAATTACTTGAACATTTCACACTAATCAAGATTTATACAATTACCCTGGTTATTTCCAGGTTTGGGAACTTTCAGTATCAATTTTCTTAAAAGTTTTATATTAACTAAATGCCTAAATATTTATGTAAATCATGCTTTTGAGAAAATATAAAAATTCACTTTATATAGTTAGTTTTGGCAGTTGCATGGTTTGGATTGTTCATAGGATAAGAAAAAAAGAAGAGACCCAACCTGATGTTAGGTAATATGCTATTTAATTACTATTAACTTTTTGGCTTTGATCCTGAATGGTATCTTGCATTTCAAGAGAAGTCTCAAGTGGAACTATGTTCACAGCTGTGACATGTTTTGCCCCTAAGGGAGAATTCAGTTTTTTAATATACACTTACTTCCTAAGAGGAAGAATAAAAAGGAAAGCATATCTTATCAGTTTTATTTGTCTGGTGAGCAAGAACGAAAGGCTGTGCTGACCCTGTTAGCTTCTGTGTGGCAATGAGCTATTGTCAAACTCATATGAGAGAAATTTGCCAGGCATAAGCCTCTTGTAATTCATGAATGTGATCATAGAGGTAGACTGCACTAAGGCTACAGATTTTATTATTTTAAGTAAATTACATGCTGTCAAAAAATCTTTAAGTACTCAACCTAGACCTGGGATTTAGTTTTCTTTGAATTTTTAGGGATATTATATAGTGGAAACTACCTGTTTCAGGATTTGTATATTGCCATTGAACTCTTCGGTATCTTGTACAAACTCTATTTCCCTTGTTCACATTCAAACATCCATCCATCCATCCATCCATACATACATGCATGCATTTATTGATTTATTTATTTTAAAGTCAGAGTTACACAGAGAAAAAAGAAGAGGCAGAGAGAGAGAGAGAGAGAGAGAGAGAGAGAAAGAGAGAGAGAGAGAAAGAGAGAGAGAGGTCTTTCATCCACAGTTTTACTCCCCAGTTGGCTGCAATGGCCAGAGCTGCGCCCATCCAAAGCCAGGAGCCAGGACCTTCTTCCTGGTCTCCCATGCAGGTGTAGGGAGCCAAGCACTTGGGCCATTTTCTATTGCTTTCCCAGGCCATAGCAGAGAGCTGGATTCGAAGTGGAGCAGCTGGGACTGGAACCGGTGCCCACATGGGATGCCAGTACTGCAGGCAGTGGCCTTACCCACTATGCCTCTGCTCCGGCTGCCAAACATAGATTCTTAATTTTTGTTATTTGGGATATTGCAGTATACTAAATGGTCTTTCTAACCTTCTTTTCTTCCTTTCCGGTCCTCTAATAGTAAATATATGCTGATATCTCACAAGAAGATTCATCTTCCTTTAGTCTCACACAGCTTTTCACACGCTGCTCCGTTTTGTTGATCTGATGCCTTCAGTGGTTTCCCACTGCCTTTGGCAGACCATGGTGAGGAGGCATGGCAGGAACATAAGCCGTGGTCGCCAATAGATCTAGACTGGAGTTCTGCTCCAGCCACGCACACAAAACTCAGCCTGTGACAGATAATTTATGATTCCTTTCATTTCAGATGGACATGATAGATCTACTTTTTTAGCTTAGAGGGTTTTGAGAAGATCACAAGACAAAAAGCACACAAAACATGCACAATTACCAATTCCTGCCCACTTCCCTTAGATTCCTCATACATTAAGGTTTTCTGCATTCTACTTCTCCTATTTCCTTTTCGTATTTGCCTCACCTCTGCTCCATCCTGTACTTCAAACACATCTATCCATCTGCTCTGGGTAATTTATTCCCATCTACTCTCTTGACCTTTGGTTACATTATCTTCTGTGACTGGAATGAGTTTTTCCTCATCCTTTCTTCTGTTCTAAGCCATATTTTCCAGTAAAAATACTCTTAACACCAGTCCTCCATAGTGAAAAGCTTTCTTAACTAAACGGAAACACCCAGATTCAGTTTTCTCTCTGTTGAATTTCTTTAGCAGTTGTTGGCTCTGTATCTCATTTGGGACTTATTATGTGCCATCTTGTGTTATTTATTACATTTTTATGTGTCTCTCGTTAGCTTAATAAGATGGTAAGCTCATTGAGGCAAGATATTGTATCATAAATCTTCTGTGCTTTCAACGACTAAATATTGATTTGCATATTGTGGCCATAAAATAAATGTGATTGTTTGATTAACTTTTCTATGACCAATTAATCATCTGGAAAGTGGGACCACTCATGCTAGCTGACCTTTTAGTTAGGAATGTTAAGGTTTTGTGCTGAGTATCGTTCTACAGGAGGTCATTATGGCTTAGTGAACAGAGCCTAGGTTTATATTCTGAAGATTTAGATATGATCTTAGCTCTGGTACCTATAAGTTATATGATTTTACTATAACCTCTCTGAATCTATATTTGCCATCTGTACAATGGGCTTCTAATGTCATTCATAGAATTTTGATAAGTGTTAAATATGATGATATATGCAATAAATTTAGCACATTGACTGACATGTAGTGAATATGTCAGAAAATAATATAACTAAAAGATTTGAAAAATTCTAAGCATACTGCAAATGTAATTCATTATTATGATTAATTTTTAATCTAAAATAAGCTAAATATACATGTATCAGTTAAAATAGAGTTTGAGGAAATTACCTGGATAATTATATCCCAGAAATTAATAATATGGGAAAAACTGGCTCAGGTTTTATTAAATTTTACTGCATGAAAATAAGCATTTCTATTGATGGATTACTATGTTAATTAATCTCAATTATTGTTGCCTTTCTTTTGTAGTTTTAATATGAATGTATTCTTAGGAAAGAATAATCAGTTTTGAACTATAAATTAGAAAAAAAAATTCTTTTCCCCTTGCTCTACTACCACTTCCTATATCTTACCCTCAACAAGTCACATAGACTTTCTGAGCCTTGATATTTTGTTTGGAAAAGGGGAAATCATATATTATTCTGAGCAAAGGATAGTATATTGGAATTCATATATACAACAGAGATTATAGAATATATTAAGTGATAAACTTTTAAGGTATTAAAGATTACTAATAGATTATTTAAATTTTAAGTCAGATCATGCTACTCAGATGCCCTACACCATGTAGGGGTGCCCTGTTCATTCACAATCACAGTCAGATCTCATGTGATAGTTTCCAAGGTCCTGTAAGATATATCTTCTCATACTTTATAAAATCTATTTTTATTAATTGAAATTAAGAGGGACAGATGAACCAACAAACAAAACTCTTTATGCTGCTGTACTCCTCAAATATCCCTAACAAACTTGGCTATGCCAGGGCCAAAGCCAGGAGCTCAGAACTCAGTTCAGGTATTGCACATGGGTTGCAGGGTCTCAACTACTTGAGCCATAACCTGCTACGTCCCAGGGTCCTCGTTAACAGGAAGCTGGAATTTGGAGCTGGAGCCATGTATTGAATCCATGTACTCTGATGTTGCATGTGGGTGTCTCAGCTGCTTTGTTTCTTTGACCTCACTTCACATAATTCTTTGCTAACACTGCCTTAGTCACACTGGCTTCCTTCTTATTTCTTGAACACACCGGGATATTCTGTGGAACTTTTTCTTTGGATGTCCCCTCCGTGGGCCATCCATTGATCTTACCTACTCAGTGAAGCCTACTCTAATCATCCTGTGTTCCACAACCTGGCCTCCCCCCAGAAAACCTGATTTCTGACCAAGCTTAATTTTTTCCTTTATCATTCTTTAGTACTTATCTGTTTCCCCCAAAGATTTACTTAATTTGTTTTAAAGGCAGAGTCTCTCTCTCTCTCTCTCTCTCTCTCTGTCTCTCTCTCTCTCACACACACACGGGGTGGGGTGGGGAGAGACAGAGACAGAGACAGAGACAGAGACAGAGAGACAGAGAGAGAGAGAGATTCCATCTGTTGGTTAACTCCCTAAGTGGCCACCATGACCCTGCCAGGCCAAAAACAGGAACCTGGTACTCCATCCAAGTCTCCCATGTGGATTGCAGGGGCCCAAACACTTGATCAATCTTCTGCCACCTTCCCAGGTACACTAACAGGATTCTGGACTGGATGTGGAACAACTAAGACTCCAAGCATGTGAATATGAA